ATACATGAAAAAATTAGCCGGGCGTGGTGGCGCACGCCTGTAGTTCCGGCTACTGGGAAGGCTGAGGCGGAAGGATCGCCGGAGCCCAGCCGGTGACGCTGGGGTGGCTGTGAGGGTGCCACAGCACTCCAGCCTGGGCGACGGAGTGTGACTCCGACTCAAAACAAGAAAGAAATGTGATCCCCAGTGTCTGAGGTGGGGCCTAGCAGAGGTGTCGGGGTCCCGGGAGGCGGATCCCTCGGAGCAGACTGATGGCCTCCCCGGGAGGGGGTGAGCGCGCCTGTGGGTTCCTGGGAGAGCTGGTTGTTCACAAAAGCCTGACGCCGCCCCTGCTCTTGCTTCCTCTCTCGTGTGACCCTGCCTGAGTGGGAGCAGCCTGAGCCCCGGGCAGACGCGGGCTCCACGCTTCTTGCCGGGCCGTGAGCCACACAACCGCTTCCCCTCATGCATGACCCCGCGTCAGGTGTTCCTTTGCAGCGTCACAGACCACTAAGACACCAGGAAGATGCGACTGGAAGGAGGCCCTCCGATGCTCACAGCTACTGTTTCTGGTGTGGCGCGAAGGGCTACTTTATTGTGTGCGTTGAGGAGGAGGAGGAGGAATGAATCTTCACTTTCTAAAACAATGTTTGAGTCGGAGTCTCCCTCTGTCGCCCAGGCTGGAGTGCGGTGGCTCGATCACAGCCACCGCAGCCTCGACTCGCTGGGCTTAGGGGGTCCCTCCGCCTCAGCCTTTGGAGTAGCTGGAGCCACAGGCATGTGCCACCACGCCCGGCTGATTTTTTGATTTATTGTAGAGATGAGGTCTCGCCAAGCTGCCCAGGCTGGTCTTGAACCCCAGAGCTCAGGCAGTCCTCTTGCCTCTGCCTCCCTAAGTGCTGGGATTACAGGCGTGAACCATTGCGCTGGGCCTGTTTTCTAAGCCTTTATATTCATTTTTTTTTATAGTAGTCAAAAAAAGGTGAGGGTCAGAAAAAATTATACACGTATTCTTCCTGTGTTGTGTATGTTTTGAACTCGGGCGCATCTCATGTCAGGTTCACTACACAAGCCGTTTCTAGAAATGTGTTCTTCATTATCAGCCCTCAGGGTCTCTACCTGCTTCACTGATTACCGCATCTTCAATGCTAACACACCATCTGGCACAATTAAATATAATTTGACACACAACTGGCAAACGAGTGAAGAATATCTGGGTTTTTTTTTGAGTTGGAGTCTCACTCTGTCGCCCAGGCTGGAGTGCAGTGTCACACTCACCACGGCCACCATGGCCTTGACCTGCTGGGCTCAGGCGATCCTTCCACCTCAGCCTTCCAAGCAGCTGGAGACACAGATGCACGCCACCGCGCCTGGCTAATTTTTTTTGTGACTTATTGTAGAGACGAGGTCTCACCAAGTTGTCCAGGATGGTCTCGAACCCCTGGGCTCAGGCAGTCCTCTTGCCCCGGCCTCCCAAAGGGCTGGGATTCCAGGCTGAGCCCCGTGCACCACCTGAAGAGTGTCTTTTTGAGCCTTAGACTTACCATGTATCCCCATATTGCTTAAATTAGAACCCACGTGGCAGTCAGATGGGAGAAAGGAACATACAGGGAAGTGGTTTTCCCTGTCAATTTCACACTTGCCAAAGGTGGCTCATCTGTGTCCCCTCAAAAAGACACACTGGAGTCCTAATCTCTGGCATCTCGGAACGGACGGGAGTCGGAAACAGGGTCCTTGTGACCGTAATCAGTTGACATGAGGTCGTGCTGGAGAGGGGCTCGGACCCGACGACTGGTGTCCCTGTCGGTGGCCAGAAGGTGGAGGGGCGAGCCCATGTGAGGCTGCAGGAACGGCGAGACGCAGAGCCGGAACTCGCAAGACTGCCAGCCCCCACGGACGCGAGGTGCGGGTTCCCTGCAGGCCCGGAGGGAGCCCAGCCCTGCGGAGCGCTTGACGTCGGACTTCCAGCCTGCAGAGCGGTGAGACCACACACTCCTGCTGCTCTAAGCTGCTCTGCGGAGCTCTGCTAGGGCAGCCTAGGAATCAGACCCTGGCCTTGACTTTGAATTCCTGCAAATGGGGGGCAGGGCAAGTAGAAGTCACTGGATATCAGGGCCCACGGGCTTCCCATGACTTTCCAGTTTATTTTCTGATAAGCGAGAATATTTTCAAGAACATGCCCGGCGAACACAGGAAAGCCAGAAAAGCACACAAGAAAGGGCAGACACAAAACAACAGTTGAAATTTTAACACACTTAGGTATTCACAGAAAAATTTTAAAAAATCAATGTTACAGTGTCGGTTTTCAAAGATCCACATTTACCATGATAGTAAAACAAAGTTTCACAAAGTTAATTTCCTTAACACTTCATTTCAACATTAATCTAGTTCTTTACAGTCTACCAGATGGTAATACTTGACCTTTTTTTTTTTTTTTTAAGGCATGGCTCTCTTCGGAAGTGAAAGGTTCACACGGTGCCCAACAGAGAGAACAGAAAGAGAAGCTGTTCCCACTGTGCAGCGCGGGGAGGGGTCTCCCCTAAGGAACTCACGCTTCCTGGAGCTCCCCCTTCAGACGCGCACGGCCCGGTGTGCGATCCATAGAACTGAAATACGACCGGAGACACTCAGAAATATTTCACTGACAAAAACTAGGGAGTTCATTCAGTGGCCAGAACTTTCTAAGCTCCTGCTTTTCCACATACTTCTCTTTGGTTTCATCCCTTTAGAAAACTCTTTGAACATTGTTTGCATGGCAAACATGTTACGCTAGGCAGGAAATATAATTCTGCACCTGAGACGTTATCTACAAAATAGATGCTGCTGCATGAAATCCAACAATGATGATTTTTTCTCTGAGTCTCACTCTGTCTCCCAGGCTGGAGAATGGTGGCACACTCACGCTACCGCAGCCTTGACTTGCTGGGCTTAGGCAATCCTTCTGTCCCGGCCTCTCGAGCAGGTGGAACTACAGGCGCACACCACCACGCCCAGGTAATTTTCTGATTTATTGTAGAGACGAGGTCTTGCCAAGTTGCCCAGGGTGTTCTCGAACCTGTGAGCTCAGGCCATCCTCTTACCTCGGCCTCCCAAAGTGGCAGGCTACAGGCGTGAGTCACTGCATCTGGCCAATAATAATTTTTTTTTTTTTTTTTTAGTTGGAGTCTCACTGTCATCCAGACTCGAGAGTGGTGGCACGCTACCGGCCACCGCAGCCTCGACCTGCTGCCTTCCGCCTCAGCCTTCCAAGTAGCTGGAACTACAGGCGCACGCTACCACGCCCGGCTAATTTTTGATTTATTGTAGAGATGAGGTCTCGCCAAGTTGCCACGCAGGTCTCGAACCCTTGGGCTCAGGCAATTCACTCACCTCGGCCTTCCAAATTGCTGGGATTACAGGCTGAGCCACCGAGGTCTGGCCAATTTTTTTAAAGACTTTTTATTTTTCATCCTACAAACATAAAACATTTCTCACGAATAAAGCCCCGAAACCAAGATAATTCTTGGATGACGTGGGCCGAGAACGCAAAGGGAGATTCCGAGTCAACGTTACTTCGTGGGCCCTTGGGAAGGGTGTCCACGGGGATAGAAAGGCAAGGACATTCATGAAGTCCTCTCCGAGGTTACAGGGCGGGGCGGCAGGGACGTGGGAGCAGCAAGCAGTGATGCTGAGGGAAGCCAGGAGGCTGAGGGGGAGCCCCGCAGGCGGCCCAGCTGGAGGGGCGCCTCGGCTCGGCCACGTGTGGGAGGAGTTCGCGGCACAGAGACGCGCGCGGCCTTGGGTTGGGCTTGCTCATTCCAGATCTTTCCTCGAGACTCCTGCTTTGGGGTTGATTCCTTTCACAAACACTTCTGTAGATTTCACAGATACCAACATGGCTCCGCTCGAAGTGCTTTACGACGTTAACTCGTTTCAGCCTCCTAACCGCTCTGCAGGCAGGTACTATTACTGGCCCCATTACAGCAGAGGAAACAGGCACAGAGGGATTAAGCCGCTTGCCCAAGATCACAAAGCTTGAAAATGCTGATCTGGGATTCGAACTCCTTTCAAGGGAAGGAATGGCCCGTTGAAAAGGTGTCGCCCGTTTTCCCTTACGAAGAGTCCTTGAGGTAGCCCTTCAGAAGTTCGCTTAGGAAGAGGAATCCGTCCTAGAAAAATCTGAGGAAGCTGTCGGAGTGAAAAAGGAAAGGGCAGCCCCAGAACTGACGGCCGCGTGCTCGCCGCACCGCAAGGACGTGAGCTCTAAAGTGCAATACACTGTGGTGGGACAATTGAGAAACTGGACACACATGAATACAGGCTTTCTTCCATTCTTAGCAAAGGCTCTTAGGAAATGTGAATTTGTCTTGAACTGTGTGAGCAAAACCTTTAACATCGCCTACCTGTGAAACCAACAGGAAGCGGATTCAGGAAGCCCTTGATTGCCTGCCACAGAGACTAGCATTAAAAAGGCAGGAAATAAATAGTGTATGTGCTATTAAAAAACACGGTTTCACACCTGAGCCCAGCAGGTCGAGGCTGCGGTGGCCGTGATAGTGCCACGGCACTCCAGCCTGGGCGACAGAGAGAGACTCCGATTCAAAAAAACAACCACCCCCCAAAAACAAACAAAAAAAACCATGGTTTCAGATAAGGATTAAGAATAACCTTGTACATCCCAGTTCATTACTTTATCATATTCTTGAATTCTTTGCTTTATGTGAGAAAGTTTATTCTTTAGGTAATCACAGCGTTCTTTTTTTTCCAGAAATGTAGGGTCCTGTAAAAGAAACACGACTGTTATTTCGGCTTCTGGATTCCTCAAAACACAGAAACATACAGCATCACCCAAAAATGAGCATACAGAGCAGAATTATCTACAGGTTGCAAAATCTTCCTAATCAGAATAACAGATTCTCTGTATTTTTTTTTCTTATTTCAACAGCTGTAGGGGGTACAAATATTTTTTGGTCTGTGCTCTACATTATTTATTTATTTATTTATTTATTTTTTTTGAGTTGGAGTCTCACTCTGTCTCCCAGACTGGAGTACAGTGGCCGCTCCCGGCCACTGCAGCCTCGACTGCCGGGCTCCAGCAATTCTTCCGCCTCAGCCTTCCGAGTAGCTAGAATTACAGGCGCACGCTATCACGCCCGGCTGATTTTTGGATTTATTGTAGAGACGAGGGCTCGCCAAGTTGCCCAGGCGGGTCTCGAACCCGTGGGCTCAGGCAATCCACTCACCTTGGCCTCCCAAAGGCGCGGGATTACAGGCTGAGCCACCGAGCCCAGGGCTTTACATTTTTTAATGACCTTTATTTCTTAGAGATGATTTAGGTTCATGGGAAGTACAAAGAGTTGAGGCGCCTTTAGTATTCCAGGTACCTTAAAAAGTAAATAATATAGAAAAAATTAATGAATAGTTTCTCCAGCCTCTACTGGTTTCTATTTTTTTAAAAGATGGGGTCTTGTTATGCTGCCCAGGCTGGATGCAGACTCCTGGGCTCAAGAGATCCTCCCACCTCAGCCTCCTGAGTCGCGGGAACTACATGTGAGTACCACTGTGTAAGGCTTGATTTTGAGTTTAAGAATAAAGTTAGAAAGATGTTACATAAGAAACAAAGTGACTCTTTTGGAAGAAAATGTGGGTAAAGGCCAGGGGAGGTGACTCACACCTGTAATCCCAGCACTTTGGGAGGTGGAGGCAAGAGGATCGCCTGAGTCCAGGGGTTCAAGACTAGTCTGGGCAACTTGGCAAGATCTTATCACTACAGTAAATCAAAAGGCTAGCAGGACGTGGTGGCATGTGCCTGGGCCCAGCAGGCCGAGACTGTGGTGGCTGTGAGCATGGCACTGCACTCCAGCCTGGGTGACGGAGTAAGACTCTGACTCAAAAAAAAAAGAGAAAAATGTGGCTGAAGAGTCCCAGATCAATGCTGAATCAGGACATAGCAGAATGTATGTAAGACAGAGATGAAAAGAAATGAAAAGAAATGGCATCCCGCAGCCAGCCATTTTTCCGCAAAAGTAGCACCTTATAAATTGCAAAAAAGAAATGTTTTGGCTAATAGGACCTAAGGTCTGCCAATTATCATGCATGTACCTGGAGAAGAACATTGCTTTTACTCACATTCTTTTTTTTCTTAAACTCTTCGTGAATTCTTGAAATTCTCTCATGTTCCTGAAAACAATATATTGTATACTTGAGTTAAAACACTTGTCTTTACTCAAATCACATCTGAAGGTTTACTGCGAATTAGGACAAAAAACAGTTTCTACCTAAGGCTGTAATAAAAATATCCACACACACAAGTTCAATTCACTAGACAAATATCTGAGAACTCACTCTCCGCCAGGCACAGGGACTCAGGGGTGAGCAAGAGAGAGAGGGCCCTGTCTGCATCAAACCAGACCTTACCCAGGCCCAGGGCCTGCCAGTTGTGTGACCCTGGGCAAGCTAGTCGTCTCCATCCAACTCGGTTTCCTTGTTGGTAAAAGGGAAATAATCACGGTAACAACGTCAAAGGGTTGTGAGAAGGTCCACGTATTTGAAATGATCCTGGTAAAGTTCTTGGCACATAATAACCACACGTTAGCTATTATTATTTTCATCCTCTTTGCAACGTTATTTTTCAAGCTTTTAGGTGCTGGGATTAAGCGGTTGAGACCATTCAACTTTTGAAAATAGCAAATGGAAGGTTCCTTCTAACTTTACTCTCTGTTTATAGTAATTCTATGGCTTAGCCGGGCTCGGTGGCTCAGCCTGTCATCCCGCGCCTTTGGGAGGCTGAGGTGAGTGGATGGCCTGAGCCCGAGGGTTCAAGACCCGCCTGGGCAGCGAGACCTCATCTCTACAATAAATCAAAAAATCAGCCGGGCGTGGTAGTGCACGCCTGTAATTCCGTCTACTCGGAAGGCTGAGGCAGAAGGATCGCCGGAGTCCAGCGGGTCGAGGCTGCGGTGGCCGGGAGCGGCCACTGCACTCCAGTCTGGGCGACAGAGTGAGACTCCAACTCAAAAAAAAAAAAAAAAGAAATTCTATGGCATATAATAAATATGAACGTTGTTAAGGAGCTGAACACTCCATTCACAGGGAACAGATTACCAGACTAACGCCTTCATTTGTCCATGCAAACCTATGCACAGAAATTGTTCGACATGGTAAACCCAATAAATAAAAAAGAAAATGTAGTGACCTATAGTTCTAAAGGTGTTCTCTAAAGACATTTTCCACCAATTGCCCACATTTTCCTCCATATATACGTTATATATGACATAATATATATACATAATATATATATATGACGTAGATATACATATTTTTTGAGCCAGGGCCTCACTCTGTCACCCCGTAGATTGTTTCTGTGACAGACTCCAGGATGGGTTTTGCAGCGCTTGTCTCAGCCTGCACCTTAGCACAGCAGCCCCACTGGCTGGGGTATTCCTGGTGCAGGACCTGTTATTACAGATTCCAACTGGATTACTAGGTTTAACTCTGCTGCCGGCAAGCAGTGGAAACACACATGAGACTCGTGATCTTAGCATGTACAAGGTATTGAAGAATTAAGGCCAAGGTAAGAGGAATGCCTGACCCAGGGGTTGGAGACCAGCCAGGGCAACTTGGTGAAGCCTCATCTCTACAATAAATTAAGAAAAATTCGCTGGGCATGGTGGTGCATGGAGTGCAATGGCACCGTCGCAGGTCACTGCAGCCTCAACCTCCTGGACTCATGTGATACTTCTGCCTGAGTAGCTGGGACTACAGGCATGTGCCACCATGCCTGGCTAATATTTTGATTTTCTGTAGAGCTGAGTTCTCACTATGTTGCCCGGGCTCGTCTAAACGTCCTGGGCTCCAACAATCTTCCTGCCTCAGCTTCCCAAAGTGCTGGGATTATAGGCATGAGCCACCGTGGCTGGCCTTCCTCGTATATTTTAATTTTTCAACATCTTTTTTTTTTGAGTCGGAGTCTCACTCTGTTGCCCAGGCTGGAGCACAGTGGCACGTTCATGGTCACCCCAGCGTGGACCTCCTTCCTGGGATCCAGCGATCCTTCCGCCTCAGCCTTCCAAGTAGCTGGAACAACAGGTGCGCGCCACCACGCCCGGCTCATTTTTTATTTATTGTAGAGACGAGGTTTCGCCAAGAGGTCCGGGCTGCTCTCGAACCCGAGGCTCAGGGAATCCGCTTGCCTCGGCCTCCCAAAGTGCCAGGGTTACAGGCTGAGCCACCGAGCCTGGCCTCATGTGTGCTTTGATTGCCTGCCGGCCGCGGAGTTGAACCTGGTAATCCAGCTGGAATCTGTGCGAGCAGGTCCCGCACCAGGAATGCCCCCGTCGCTGGGGCTGCTGCACTGGAGATGCAGGCAGAGGCAAGTGCTGCAAAACCCATCCTGGAGGCTGTCACAGAACGGAATCTACGGGGCGATGGGACCAGAGGCACCTGGGGGGCCGCATTCCTATCTTAGGGGCTACTTTTCAAGGGGGCACGACTTGCGAGAGAACCTGGGCCTCCACATCGGCCCGCAGGCTGTGACAAGCCGCACCTGCTTCCCTGGGGTTGTGGTCGGAGAGTGAGGCAGCCTGCAGGCTCCCGCACAGGCAAAGCCCAGGAGAAGCTCCCGTCTGGGGCGCAGCTGCCATCTCCTCTTTAGGTGAGCACTGGAGGAGCATGCGATGGTAACTGTGCCTGCCTTTCGCTTTCCAACTGGCCCCGTCATGCTAAAACCCACAGGAAATGACTGCTGTGGATCCTGGCTGGAAACATCGCGGGCAGACTTGGGCTCTCAGCTGGTGCTGTCACCAGGACCCTCTCGATCTGGCAACTGCAGACCCCACATGACGCACACAAGCCCCGCACCCCTGGGCCTCGGCTCGCAGATCGCCCGCCGCAGCCGGGCTCGGTGGCTCAGCCTGTCATCCCGCGCCTTGGGAGGCCAAGGTGAGTGGATTGCCTGAGCCCGCGGGTTCGAGACCCGCCTGGGCAGCGAGACCTCATCTCTACAATAAATCAAAAAATCAGCCGGGCGTGGTAGCACGTGCCTGTAACTCCGGCTACTCGGAAGGCTGAGGTGGAAGGATCGCCGGAGCCCAGCGGGTCGAGGCTGCGGTGGCCGGGAGCGGCCACTGCACTCCAGTCTGGGCGACAGCGTGAGACTCCAACTCAAAAAAAAAACGAAAGAAATCCTCCCTGAATTATCCTGGCTTGAGCATGCTATCAGTAACCTTTGGGACACTGCCTCCTGATTCAGTATGTATCTTAGGCAAATTTATATTTTACTTAAATAAGAAGATAAAACTAGCTAGGCGCGGTGGCTCACGACTGTAATCCCAGCCTTTGGGAGGTGGAGGCAAGAGGACTGCCTGAGCCAAGGGGCTCGAGACCAGTCTGAGCAACATAGCAAGACCTTTTCTCTACAATAGATCATAACATGAGCCGGACACGGTGGGCACTATGCCCGTAGTTCCAGCTACTTGGAAGGCTGAGGCGGAAGGATCACCGGAGCCCAGCATGTCGAGGCTGCGGTGGCCGTGAGCGTGTCTCCAGCCTGGGTAACAGAGTGAAACTCTGTCTCGAAAGAAAAGCAAAGAAAACTGTTTAATCATTGAAGGCAAAAGATATTAGATAATATAATTTGAGTTGTGACGCTGGCTAGACTTAACCTTGAAGACCCTGCATGCTCTCCTAGACAGAGAGCAGAGGCAGATGGTTATGGACTTTGACAAAGCTCAGGCTTTCTTCATCTTCTGGACCCGAGTGTGCCTCCTGGGCCCTGCAGACACTGACCTGGCGGTTCTCCGAGTGGTGTGGCAGTCGGCTCATCACTGCGTCCAGCTCATCAAGCTTCCTCAAGACAGCCTGCACCTCTGCCGACAGCTCTTTGTACTCTGAGAACTGGTCTTGGAACACGGCTTTGTAGCGTTCGCGTTCATCATCTGTCTGAATCACAGGGTATTTCCTGAGGGAAAAACATAAGCCAAAGTGGTAACTGTGTCATGAAGACAAGCTGAGTGGGAAACCCACTGAGTTTATTCCTGCACTGTACTTTCGATGCAAGATACTACCTCTCACATAACAAACAACCGTTCGCATAGGAAATTTCAAGCAGAGACAAACGGTAAACGGAGACTTTGGAGACAAACGGTAAACGGAAGGCCCAGATGGGACCCCCTCGACCTCTCCTGTGAAGAGTCTGGATTGCTACTCACGCCACATAGTCGGGCATCACGATGGGTTTAGGGATGTGGCCTGGGGGAATGTGTCCACTCAGCAGTTCAGGCTTCATTTTCGCTGCTCTCAATTCCTTGAAATTCACTTCGGGGGCTCTTTGTCTGTCACAGCTGGTGGCCATTTCACACTGCAGGTAGGGAGAGAAAGAGACTTATTTACAAACAGAAGTAGAAAAAAACGCTGGATTTATCCTTTTTTTTTGAGTTGGAGTCTCACTCTGTCGCCCAGACTGGAGTGCAGTGGCCGCTCCCGGCCACCGCAGCCTCGACCTGCTGGGCTCCGGCGATCCTTCCGCCCCCGCCTTCCGCGTAGCTGGAATGACAGGTGTGCGCTACCATGCCCGGCTAATTTTTGGTTTATTGTAGAGATGAGGTCTCACCAAGTTGCCCAGGCGGGTCTTGAACCTGTGGGCTCAGGCAATCCACTCACTTTGGCCTCCCAAAGCGCTGGGATTACAGGCTGAGCCACTGAGCCTGGCCTGAATTTATTCTTAGAAGAAAATGTGAAAGGAGACAAGAGGATAAAAAGTAGAAGTAGGAATTAACATTTCACTACAAAATGACATGTTCAATAGTCACAAAGTTGCTCTGAATGTTTGTGTAATATTTTTTTTTTGAAAACAGGGTCTCACTCTGTCACCCAGGCTGGAGTGTACTGGTGCGACCACAGCTCACTGCCACCTTGAATGCTTGTGCGCAAATGACCCTCCCACTTCAGCCTCCCAAGTAGCTAGGATCACAGGCACACATCACCACACCCAGATAATTTTATTATTTTGTAGAGATAGGGTCTTCTTATGTTGCCCAGACTGGTCTTGAACTCCGGGACTCAAGCAATCCTCCCGCCCTGGCCTCCAGCCTGGGCAACGAAGTGAGACTCTAAATTAAAAAAAAAAAAAAAAATCAAAATATAAGCTGGATATGGTGGCACACGCCTGCAGTTGCAGCTACTTGGGAGGCTGAGGCAGAAGGCTTGCCTGAGCCAAGGAGTTTGCAGCTGTGGTGAGCTGTGATTGTGCCACTGCACTCCAGGCTAGACAACAGAGTAAAATCCTGACTCAAATAAATAAATAAATAAATAAATAAATAAACAGACAAATAAAAGTTGCTCAGAAGCTGGCCTTGGTGGCTCAGCCTGTAATCCCGCGCCTTGGGAGGCTGAGGTGAGTGGATTGCCTGAGCCTGCAGGTTCAAGACCTGCCTGGGCAACTTGGCGAGACCTCATCTCTACAGTAAGTCAAAAATCAGCCGGGCGTGGTAACGTGCACCTGTAGTTCCAGTTACTTGGAAGGTGGAAGGATCGCCGGAGCTCAGCAGGTCGAGGCTGCGGTGGCCGGGAGCGGCCGCTGCACTCCAGCCTGGGCGAGGGAGTGAGACTCCAACTCAAAAAAAAAAAAAAAAAAAAAAAAGTTGCTCAGAATAAGAAATTGAGGGATAAAAATGAAACAAGCCTACTTAAACGCAAAGAGGAAAAAAAGAACTTCCATCAATCATAAGCAGCCGCTGAGTGGGTGGGAAAGGGAACCAGTTGCACTGTTTTCATGATCTGAGAAGGGAAGCAAGCAAACCCAACTGAGAAGGAAAGTCTTCCTGATCTTCAGTATTTTTACAGTGTTTTTTTGTGTGTTTGTTTCTTTTTTGAGTCAGAGTCTCACTCCCTTAAGAGCCCAGGCTGGAGCGCAGTAGCACGCTCACAGCCACTGCAGCCTCAACGTGTCGATTCTTTTGCCTCAGCCTTCCAAGTAGCTGGAACTACTGGCATGTGCCACCCTACCCAGCTAATTTCTTGACGTATTGTGGAGACGCAGTCTTGCATAGTTGCCCAGGTAGGTCTTGGACCTGTGGGCTCAAGCAACCCTCTCGTCTCTGCCTCCCAGTGCTGGGATTACAGGTGTGAACCACTGCAGCCAGCGACGGTGTTTTTGAATGTCAGTGGGGCCACGGAGGGAAAGAGAGTGGATGTGTTCAAGCTGCTCTTTTTCTTTCTTTTTTATGAGATGGGGCTTTGCTCTGTCCCCCAGGCTGGAGGGCAGTGGTATGATGGCTGCACTCTGCAGCCTCCAACTCCTGGGGTCAAGCGATCCTCCTGCCTCACTGCCTGCCCATCAGCTGGGACTACAGGCGAACACCACCACCCATGGCTAATTTTGCGTCTTTTGTAGAGAAGAAGTCTCGCTATGCTGTCCAGGCTGGTCTTGAACTCCTGAGATCCTCCCACTTCAGCCTCCATGGCCAGGCCTTGAGGGTTCTGATTCCCTGAAAAGGACTATGGGAATTCTAAGTACAAGAGATGGTGGTTTAAGTCATCTTGGTTCCTAAACTGCAGAGCTCTTAGGGGCTTTTTCAGTAAAAAATTATGAGCTGAAAAGAGGGAAAGAGAACAAAGACGGTCCAGAGAGGAAGCATCAGAGAACAGGCTGTGAGGGCTAAAATAGCAGACTAAGGGAAGCAGGACTGGAAGACCCAGTGGGATCCGCTCTGGAACAGGCAGGCAAAGCTGGATGCTCAGCTGTGGGCAGGGGAGAGCTTTCGGGAACTCTGCTGGACAGTGCCCAGAACACCAACCAACGGGTCAGATTAGTGGATGCCCAAGGGGACTTTCTGTTTTAAACATAAAGAAGTAAGGAAGGTTCAGGCTGGGCACGGCGGCTCATGCCTGTAACCCCAGCACTTCAAAGGCTGAGACAAGAGGATTACTCAAGCCCAGGAATTTGAGACCAGCCTGGACCTCGTCTCTACAAAAACTCAAAAAATTAGCCAGGCGTGGTGGTACATGCCTATAGTCCAAGTTACTGGGGAGGCTGGAGCAGAAGGATCCCTGAGCCCAGAAGGCTGTGGTGAGCTGTGATTATGCCACTGCACTCCAGCCTGGGTGGCAGAGTGAGACTGTGACTTCAAAAAAAAAAAAAGAAGTGAGGTTCAGAGAGGGCAAGCAAATCCTCCAAGGTCACATTGCCATTAAGTGGAAAAGCCACGCATGAAATCATGCCCTTTGCAGCAGTATGGGAGGACATTATTCTAAGTAAGTTAATGCAGAAACAGAAAACCAAATACCACATATTCTCCCATAAGCGGAAGCTAAACCCTGGGTACACACGGACATGAAGATGAAAACAACAGACCCTGCAAGCTCCTAAAGAGAGAGGGAAAGAGATGGGCAAGGCTTGAAACATGACCTATTGGGTACCATGTTCAGTATTTCGGTGAGAGTTTCAAAAGAAGCCCAGACCTCACCATCACACAATATACCCCCTGCATATGTACCCCCTGCCTTTATAATGAAAGAGAAAGAAGAAAAGCCACAATCAAAATCCAGAACTATTGGTTCACTAATACTTTATTTATCCAAAAAGATTTTTTTTAGAGACCAAGTCTGGTTCTGGTGCCCAGGCTGGAGAGCAGTGGTGTGATCATGGCTCACTGCAGCCTCGAACTCCTGGGCTGAAGGGATCTCCCACCTCAGCTTCTAGAGCAGCTAGGACTACAAGCACATGCCACCACATCTGGCTAACTTTTTGTTTTTGGTAGAGACGTGGTCTTGTTATAACGTCCAAGCTGGCCTCGAACTCTTGGGCTCAAGTGATCCTCCTGCCTCGATCTCACAAAGGATTGGGTCTGCAGGCATGAGCCACTGCGCTGGCCTGGTTCATTGAGTCTGACTTACTGATCATACCCTAAAGCTCCCTGAAGTTCTAGTAGCTCACTGGAAATGAGTGTGTGATGGACAGGCAGGCAATACCACACTGCAAGAGGATAGCACACACTCAGACGGGACTCCTCTTTGGCGTGGGACCCTCTGTCCCCTTTATTGACCCCTTAAGCCTTCAAGAAACGCTGGCGGAACCAAACTGAAGGCTCCTACTTCACTGCAAACAAGAGACAAAAGCGGATTGTAAAGCCTTGCCTGTTATCTTGCCATGCAGCTTTTAAAACCCTTTGTTTCCTGACTTCCCTACTGAGACTGGCTTGAAGGCTTGGTTTAACATTAGCTCATTCTAAAATTCACCAGCTCTTACCTCACCCCTCAGACAGGATCACAGCAGGAGGCTGCTGGCAGGCCCTGGGGGAAGGTTATGAAAGGGAAAAGCCCCCAGTCGTGGCTGGAAGGAAAGCCAGATCCCTAGAGGCGGAAGGCGGGCTTGGCCACGGGTCCCCACGCTGCAGAACCGTGGGTGGGTAGCAGGGTACCCTGAGATTAAGCAAGGGCACTTTAGGAGCTGCCCTCGAGGTTAGTGTTTATCCTGCTGTGCTCTCTACTGGTCAGGATGCTCTTCCTCTTCCGTGAACTCCCACATGTTTAATCTCGAAAATGAAGAATGGTATTACATATCAGGGGAAAGCCAGGCGCGGGGGCTCATGCCTGTAATTTCAATACTTCGGGAGGCGGAGGAGAGGATGCCCTGAGCAATTTGACAAGACCGTCTCTACAATAAACCAAAAAATTAGCCGGGCGTAGTAGTGTGCACCTGTAGTTCCAGCTCCTTGGAAGGCTGAGGCGGAAGGATCGCCGGAGCCCAGCAGGTGAGGCTGCTGGAGCGGCCACTGCACTCCAGTCTGGGCAACAGAGTGAGACTCCAACTCAAAGAAAAAGAAAAAAAACCAAAAAAACCTTAAATAATAAAAAAAATATATATCAGGGGAATTCTTTTTGGCATGAATAAGTGGATTTACATTCGTGGTGACTCCCTTAGGCGTGGAAATATGTTCAACCATCTCTTCCCACAGGGCTGAGGAAGCCGCCAGAGCACTCTTTGGTCTTCCCATCTCAGCAGCAGACCAGCATCAATCCCAGATTTCCTGGGCAGAGGCAAGAACCCTGCCCAGGTCCTTGTTTGGAACAGGAGGGTCCATAACTAATTTTTTCCTAGGCATAATTTTTTCCAAGTAAGGACTATTCCCTTTCCTTACTTTCCCATCCCTGATTCTAAGATTTACCTTTTGATATAAAAAGAAGAAATCAGGGCATTTCCATACAGACTATTTCATCTGCTTCAAATTTAAACTTGTATTGTCTTGACATTTTCTTCTACTTTTTTTTTCCTTTTGGTGGTGAGGTCTCACTCTGTTGCCAGGCTGGAGTGCGGTGGCAAGATCACAGCTTACTGCAGCCTTGACCTCCCGGGCTGAA